CGGGCCGGCCCGTTTAAGCCCGAGCCCGTGACAGGCCGGCCCGTTTTCCCAGTGCTAGTCACTTGGAGAATATCCGAATCATCCCCTGCCTCTGTATATGAACCGTCCATGATCTTCGACAGTGGAAAGAAGTGACATATGGACCCTAAACCATAATGTAAGTTTTTGTTTGTATAACTCAAAGTATTTTCAAGTCCAAAAATAGGCTTGAGACTAATTTCTGTCGAATCGGAAGCGTTAAGATTAAGGTCATCTTAACAAATATGCTTATCAAATTTTAAATATATATATCTCAACCAATAACTTGTTGGTAATCCTTATGCAATTAGGCAAAGAAGTGTGTGGATAAAAGATCTAAAAATATCACAAACCACAACCCTACCCATGAAAATAATAAATGAACTTGTTTTACGTGTGATTTGGAACTTCCAGATCCATGCGTTTGCTTAATCTTTTAAATTTTCTTTCTATGCATTTAATGTTTGGTTTCATTTTGGCTTCAACACAATAATTTTTTTTCTAAAGTTTATTATTGAATGATCACAGAAGTGGATTAATTAATTAGGAAGAAGTAAGAGTGATGCATGATTGCTCTACTTCATTGGGAAAAAAAAATCCTTGCTACTTTCATGTCAACACCTTCGTCCCAGTTTCCAAATTCAGTAATACATTTTGTCTTGTATTGTTGACATATAAAATTTAAGAGTAAAAGATAATAACCACCCCTCTATTTTATCTAAATTATAGAAACATCCTTCCTACTTTAAAAATATACACACACACACACATCTCTAAAAATTAAAAATGTTTGATACGCAAATCACCCTAACAGTAACAGATTTTATTTCTATGCACCCAATATTAGTTAATTGTTGATTAAGAATTATTTAGATATTTATATTTGACAAAAAAAAATTACTTTACTATACAACCAAACTAATAATTTTAATACTTATATTTTCAAAATTTTTAATATTTTATAAAATTATTAGTTTTGATCGTATTACAAAATTTTTATTATGTTATGTTCATCATATTTATTGAAACTTACTTTTTAAAAAAAAATTTAAACAACTAAAACCCTATCTCAAATGCATTTTTTTTATCATATAGTATAAATGAGTTAAGTTTAAGAGATTATAAAAGTAATAAGTAATTTAAATTTAAAAATTTTAAATATATTTTTTACTACAAACATTTATAAACACATTTAATCAAGTATATATTAATTAAAAGAATTAATCAAATTTTCAATTGTAACATCCTGAATTTTCTGACTCAGGATGAGCAAAAAAGAGAAAGTTCATTAAAATTATTTAATAGCTCAATCACAAATGGGGAAAATTATGGAATATTGATTTTTCAAGGTTTAGAAATATTTTGAAAAAGTTCATTCCCCAAAAAGTGGCTTAAATGATTTTAAAGCTATTTTCATAGCAAAATGGGTTATTGTCTTAGAAAATACTTAGAGGTTTCTAATTAACTAGAAAATTTTAGGAAAATTATCTTATGAGGTAAAGAAGTTATTTGAGGCATAAAATCCTTAAAATGGATTAAGGATTAATTTCTGAAATTAAGAGCTATTTTCTTGGAAAATTTCAGAAAAATAGTCAGGAATGGACTTTTGACCTGAAATTCTTAGGAAAATTATTTTATGGGTCAAAGATGCTAATGGATAAGAAAAATCCATTTATGATATTTTGGTTTAATTTCTGGATATATCTTATATTTCAGAAAAATAGGAGAAGGAATAGTATTGGAGGAATAATTATTTAGGAGGGCAAAATGACTCAGCAACCATGTAGTACACGTGCTGCCTTCTTTGTTTGCCAGCTGATTCACTCCCTCAATTATCATCTGGTCATCCACGTGTTCTGCCTCTTTAACCTCCAGATCGATCCTACCCTCCTTTTTCACTTCATTCTGCAACGCTGAAAGAGAGAGAGAGAGCGCGAGGGACAGACCGTGAGAGGAAGAGGTTGGCAACGGAGTAATTGATCGGAGGTAGTTTTTCTTGCATGCAAACTTGGATTCTGAATCAGGTGAGCTTCACATGTCCATCACTGTTTTCATTTTCTGGTTTCGGTCATGTTTATGGCGTGTTTGAGGAGAGAGAGACAGAAGGGTAGTGAGAGAAAGTGATGGAAATGATAACAGGACCGATGGATGCAGATTCTATGGCTAGATTGAAGTGTTTGATGTTGGTTTTTAAGGTTGCATGTCTTTTTCTTTGCCTCTGCTTTATACCCGAAAGGTGTGTATGTGTAACCGATCGCTGTAGGTGTATGTGTGTATCGAATTCTTGCTCCGTTTTGTTGCTGGCCGAACAGGGGTTAAAAGCTTGGGGAAGTCTGGTTTTGTTGTTTCTAAACAGGGGGGAAAACCTTTTGTTTAAGGTTGGTTACGGTTTGGAGGAAAGGACTGAGGAAGATGCAAAACGTATATGTATACTTTTGTGTGTTATTGACTTGGGGGGTGTAACGTGCTGGAGTAATATATATATATATGCGCTCTGTGTTGGCCGACTTCTGAATATATATATATATATGTATGTATATAACTAGCTAGCTGTGTTAAATGTAGGATAGTGATTTTGGATCTGTTTGAACGGGGAGAACAGAAGCTTATGTGTATGTGTGAAGATGCCGTGAGGAGTGAGTTTGGAAGCTAAAATCAGATCGGAAGTGAAAAGTGATACACACACATGGCGGGAGGAAAGAAGGAAACTAGATTAATACATGCATGTGCTGTTTGGTTGCTGTGTTGTCCGTGAGGTTCATAATTGGGAAAGTTGGAATTTTCGAATTATTGCAGTTAAATAAGGATCTTAAAGGTATATGAGTTGCTAATAATAACTAGAAAGGTTTGTAGATTTATTTTGGAGTGTTAGATTAAATTATTTGGTGGAATAAGGAAAAGTAAAGTAACGCTATGGGTCGAGATAAGGAAGGAATCGTTCCAAAGAGAATAGTTTGAATAAGAAAAATTATCAAAGATGACCAACTATTATGTAAGGGTAGAGATTAAAGAAGATTTGAGATTTAAAGAGAATTATTTAATTTATGAATTACAGTTGGATCAAATATTGATCTACCCTTACAAACATGATAGGTTTTGATATATTCTCAAGCTCACCAAGAAGCAGAAAGAATGGAGAACGGTAAGGTTTGGTTTGGAGGGAAGCAGACCAGGTAGTAGTTCTGTCCTACCTTACACTTGTGTATGATTGCTGCATGTCTGTTTGTGCCATATTGCTTTTCTAAAGCATGAGAACATGTAATCCTTAATTCCTTGCATGGATTATTTAGCCGTGATCACGTGTAGCTGATAGATATGGGGCAGTGATTGCCAATTATTTGCGCATTATTTATTCAGCTTGTCTATCTGTCATTGCGCATAAATGCTTAATTGCATTAGCTTGCAAGGTTATATTCCACTTTGGCTTGTTTTGCATGCTTTATGTGATCTTCATACGTGTTTGATGGAAATTACTACTACGGGGATTCTTCGGAATCTCACCCTCCAATTTATGATGAACAGTGAAGGCTAGTAGCTAGAAGGACAAGGAGGTTATTTAAGAAGAAGGTGGGCTGGTTGAAGAACAGAGATACCTGTTATAATTCTATAAATGGTATAGCAAAATATATGGGCAAGTAACTTTACTTGCTTTATATAAATTTCATTTTATATCCTTCATAAGCGGAAAAGCACTGCCGGGTGCAGGTATGTGCAGTCAACCAAAATGGTTGCTATATTTTTAATATAATATTATAAGATTGCACAGTATGAAATCATTCTGGGTGATAATAGATTAAGTTGAAAGTAGGATTGATTGTGGATCACTCTTCAATTATTCTAAAGGTTTGAAATATTTGATCAACGGTTTCCAATGTTGAAGGAAAAGAAAAAAAAAATTCCCTGTCTTTTCCCAAGACGGAAACCTGGCGTTAGTGATTCACAGACGTTAAAATAATCCTATTAATATTTATAAAAGTAAGGTGTTGCATCAATCAAGCTTTTATATCTATTTTAACTAAATTACTTGAACTTCTATCCCAATAGATAAAAACAATAAGCAAATAACTTTTTGCGAAAAGAAAATTTGAAATTAAGGAAGAGAAAAGGAAAATTCTTGTTCAAAATAATTTCAGCCAAAATTAGGGATTTGGTGTGAGACAAAATGTAAGAAAGGTTAGAGTATTTTTAAAAAATCCAAACTGGCAAAAAGACTAGTAATGGTTTTAAAACATTCATACCAAATATAAAAAAAATGAAGGTGCAATCTTGATCCTGATCTCATTTCTCAAGCGTAATTTTGCTCCAATTTTTCAGTGGTGCGATTTTGTGTCCATGATCTTATTTTTCATTTGCAATTTTGCCTATGATCTTTTTTTAGTGTAATTTTGCTTCTGATTTTTTGGTGCAATTTTGCTCCTGAAGGTCAAAATTGTATTAAAAAAAATATCAGGGTCAAAATTGTATTGTTAAAAAGATCAAAAGCGAAATTGCACCTAAGAAATAATATCAGAATTAAAATTATACCTTAACCCAATATAAAAAAGAGAACTGAAGTTCCATTGCAAAATAAAGTAAAACTAAGCAGAAGCGTTTTCATTTCACTCCAATGGCTTTCTACCAATTTCCCTTGCTTTCAAACAGTATTATATTCAGCAATCAGGAGCTCTTGTTTTCCTCCGACAATCCAATGCAAGGCTTCAACCTTTAGTGATTCTAATCAAAACAACACTTCTCGTGGTTCTGCAAATCACTTTCAACCTTCAATTTGGGATTATGATTATATCCAATCAATAAGAAATGATTTTGTGGTATGGCTTCTTTCACGTTCATTCTTTTACTTGCTTTATTGAAATTTTATTTCATATCATGATCATATATTGTTTTTCTGTGCAAAATCGATTTTCTAATTATTATATATTAATTATTTGAAGGAAGAAACATATCTAGAAGAAAGAGATCAGTTGAAGGAAGAAGCAAGATTGATGCTCTTGACATTGACAAATCCTGTGGAACAATTAGAGGTCATTGATGACATGGAAAGGCCGGGAGTGGCTTATCATTTTAGCCAACAGAAAAGAAATATATTGGAAAATGTTTGCAATAATGAAACATCAAGCATAAGTAACAATTTATACGCCGTGGCTCTTGAATTTAGACTCTTAAGACAACAAGGCTATTATGGTGTGTCATCAGGTATATATTTTATTCGCTTATAGAGCATAAAGTTCACAGAAATCAAGCATTATTATGGAGAATATAATTATTTTTCTAATGCTAACAATTATTCAATTTGTAATTGCATGGTTATTTTCAGGGACATTTGATGGATTCTTAGATTACAATGGTAATTTCCGTTCTCACCTTTCGAGCGATATCAAGGGTGTGTTATCATTGTATGAAGCTTCTTTCCTTTCAATTGAAGGTGAAGTAGTTTTGGATAAAACAAGAGAGTTTAGCTCAATTCATCTTAAAGCATTTGTGAAGGAAAGCTGCGAAGATGATGAAATATCACTTTTGGTTAGTCATGCCCGAGAGCTTCCACTATATTGGAGGGTATCAAGATTAGAAACTCGGTGGTTCATCCATGTTTATGAAAGAAGACTGAACATGAGCCCCACTTTGCTCAAACTTGCTAAATTGGACTTCAACATCTTACAAGCTACTTACCAAGAGGATATGAAACACGTGTTAAGGTGAAAATAATTATACAAATTCGGCCCTGTTAGGAAACTTTGACTGTTTCTAGACCTGATTAGAACTCTTACAATGATTTACATTTTATTGATTGAATATTTTCAAGTGAAATTTTCAATCTCCACGGAATTTCTTTGATAAATATAAAAAAAATTCGTTAGTTAATTCAACCTGATAATATTATGAGTTTCAAACATATTTCTCAATGGTTTTCTTTTCAGTTGTGAAAATCGATGGAACTACGAGAAGTTTGCTGAGCTCTAGAACTTCAAAACATTAAAAGAAAAAAAAAAGAAAAGAAAGAGAAAATATGCATACTACTAAGCCGATCTGTTTTACTTGATGCTTTTATATTTGAAGATGGTGGAAAAGAACTGGACTCGGAGAAAAGCTGAGTTTTGTAAGGGATAGAATGGTTGAGAACCTCATGGGGACAGTGGGTTTGGCTTTTCAACCACAATTTCGATATTTTAGAAGAGTGGTTTCAAAGGTTTTTGCAATGATAACTAGAATTGATGATATGTATGATGTTCACGGCAGTTTGGAAGAACTAAAGCTTTTCACAGAAGTGGTAAACAGGTAAACATGTTATCTTTATGATGCATATACGTATCTATGTATGTATAACTGTCCCAATATTTGTTGCCATTTTATACCTCTTTTATGACATAGATGGGACGGCAATGCCATGGATGAACTTCCAGACTACATGAAAATTTGTTTCCTTGCACTTAATAACTTTGTCAATGAAGTGGCTTTTGACTTCCTCAAAGAAAATGGACGCAACATCATTCCACACATTAAGAAAGTGGTATGCTTTGATATAATTCATCGGTTGCATCTTTTCTTATTTTCTACTATCTCCCGTCCTTAATATAATTTGGATGGATTAAAAAAATTAGTTAAGTTAGTTATTGATAAAAATATGAGTTGATTTTTCTATAATACCCTTTGTAATCATAATTAACTTTAAATGAAAACACATTTATATGTGTAATCAATAGAGATATTTTAAATAATAAATTATAAATTTGGGAGACAAAGTGGATTGAAATCTTTTATTTAAGACCAAATCCAAATCCTAATTAACTCTTATATTAATGACTAGATGTAGTATAATATAAATAATTTTAATCATGATGTATTTTAATTGGGTTGAGGTGCAATTTTGCTATGGAAGTTTTTACATAGTTGTTTGTATCTATGAGTTTTTGTTGAATCAATATTGCTTTGGAAGTGAAAAAAAGGGTAATATTGCCCCTAATTGTCAAACATGTTAACTTTCAATGTTATTTTCCTAACGAGTGGAGCGATTCTGCTTCTTTTTCTAATATTTTTTGGATGATATTGATCCAACAAAAACTTTTAGATATCCACATAACTTCTACATGTAAACTTGTGAGGCAAAATTATACTTTAACCCTTGCTAATTTTATATGTCAATTATTGTGTTCAATTTTTTTTTCAGTGGGTTGATCTCTGTAAATCAGATCTAGTTGAGGCAACATGGTACCATAATGATTATAAACCCAGCTTTCTTGAGTACCTAGAAAATGCATGGATTTCAAGTAGTGGACCAGTCGTACTTTTTCATGCTTATTTTCTACTTCCTAGTTCTACCAATTAGGAGGATTCGATTCGGTTTGAAGAATATTATAATTTTATTCGCTATGTATCAACCATTTTGCGCCTTGTCAATGATTTGGGAACAGCAAAGGTATCATGACACAGTCCTTTCATATTCTATTAACCAATAAGTATATTGCATGAAATATGGTACTTATTTTCTGCGAATATTTAATCTTGCAGCGGGAAAAGGTGACTGGAGACATACCCAAATCAGTTTAGTGTTATATGAATGAAATTGGAGCTTCTGAAGCTAAAGCTCATAGGCACATAAATTCCTTGATATGTGAAACTTGGAAGAATTTGAATAAAGAAGTTAGCAATTCCTCTTATTCAAAGAGTTTCATAGAAGTTGCTGTGAACCTTGTAAGGATGTGCCTGCGCATGTACCAACATGGAGACGGCCATATTGTTCAATATGATGAAACCGAGAAACGTATAATATCATTGTTTTTCCAGCCTATTGCTTGAATTTATACAATGAATCTATTTTTAATTTTTCTTATGGGTGTATTTGCAAGAGTTTGTCAAACATTTTCAATTGGGTTGTTTGGTAATCAATCTGTAAGTGCTTGATATAAATAATGTTTTCTAAATGGTCAACATGAAGTCTTGATGTTTTTAATATAGAAGGATTTTAATTTGTTATATCATGAATGAGGAAAGTATTCCAATTTATGCAACTTAAAATGCATCCCAATAAGTTTTCATATTGATGTTGATGTGAATTGTTCTTGTGTTAATCAATTAACGAAGAATTACAACAATAACTACTAGAGCACAACTAGTAATCTAATAATGAAGCATGTGAATTGTATCTGGAGGAGGATCTGCAAAATTGGTTGGTATGTAGCATATGGTTGATAAATCCCTTTTTTATTATTATATATGGTTTATCTTGAGCTTTTAGCACTTTAATTGGGTTCAAGTGAATTAGTTAGGAGTTAATTGGGAAAAAAGTTGACTTTGTTAAATAATGATTAATTGGACATTTGAGAGGATTGGCACAACTTCTATCAGTAGGACAACGCAAGGCAAGCTTAAATGGGGCATGAGGAGGAATTGGTGAAGGGGCATTGTTGGAATTAACTCCCATCCACTAGCACTTTATCTCCTTTTATTTAAATTTTTTTATAAGTACTTATATTCTTCTATCAGAAGCAATCTTATTTGAAACCTTGTCAAGCTTTAAATATGATTAACTCTCACCTCAATTATTTTATTTTATTTTTTTGGAACATGGGACACAGGTGGGCAATCAATTTATTTTCCATTTATCATATCGGGTTGGTTAGGCGTCATATAAATGAGAGGTATCATTTAGGTTTTGGGCCACACCTTAGGCCCATTTAACTACCCCAGGAGACCCAATGTCCATTCCATTTACCCAAATTCCACCACACTTCAACTGCCACTTCCAGTTCATTTGAAGCACCCGACAGCGCCCTTAATTCACTGCTTTGATTAGGAATTGTACTTCCCACTTGTTCTAGGTTTAGGAATTCTATTTGGCTAGATCCATATTTGTTTTCAGCCAGCAGATCATCACACATTGGGATTAACTAAACAGCCCTATAATAAAGTTACCTGAATCAGGCAAAATAAACTAGAAAAAGACGTAGAAAACTGACTAATATTCAATCCATTTCATCATATGGGCTTAGTTGTTCAACCATTTTGCTCATAAACTTGGAATTATCAACATATCAAAAAGTATATATATCTACACAGCTCTACAAGGTCCATTCAATTTTTTTTTTTGGTTTAAAAAAAAAAAAAAACTATCTACGTGAATTCTACTTCTCTACTGCCACCACAGGCAATTCTTAATTCCTTGAGCAGAAACTCTTGAGGCTGCAATCCAGCTGCCTTCATCTGATACAAAAGCTTAATAGCCTCAATGTACAACCCATTTTGCATGTACCCCATAAGCATAGCATTCCAGCAAGCCTCGTTTGCCCTATTATGAATCACCTCAAACACAAGTTTTGCTTCTCTCACTAACCCATATCTTCCGTACATGTCTATCAACCCACACTCCACATAAGTATCTGACGCAAGTCCAAGCTTAGTAGCATTAGCATGGACTTGCTCACCACAGTGCCCATGGCTTGGCATTCTTCCACATGCTTTAAGAACACTAGAAACTGTAAAACTGTTCTTCCTTATTCCTCTCCTTCCCATCTCCTTGAAGTCATTGAGAACCTCATAGAAATGCATTTCTCTGCAATCATTTACAATTTTTGCTGTCCAAGTGAAGGTGTTATGTCTAGCTACCTCGTTAAAGGCGATATTTGCGTCTTCTAGGCAATTGAACTTCCCATAGAATCTAATCAATGCGCAAGTGAGAAGTACATCGTTACTAATGTCCAACTTGACTAAGCACCCATGAACTTGTTTTCCCAGATCGAGATTGATACTGCACGAACATGCCTTGAGAAGACAAACCAAGATCCAATTGGGCAGCTCCAAAATACTCACTTGGTCAAGCATGTTCAGAAACAAACCTATGGCTTCCTCGTAATTTGCATTATCAAAATAAGCAACAAGTAATATAGCCCACGAGTTGATATCCCTCACAGACATTTTATCAAACAGGTGGTGTGCACGCTCCATTAAGCCACATGACGCATACATGAGAAGGAGCCGATTGAGGAAGCTTAACGGAGGATCAATGCCTCTTTGTGTTATATGGACATATAGTTCCATGGCTGCATGAGGGTCCCCAGAAACAGTACACTCTTCTATCAAAGAGACGTACATGTCAATGGGTATAGAGAAGCCAAGACCATCCATCAATCGCAAAACATCAGATACCGTGCTCTGAGCAAAGATAAATCCTTTTTTCTCGTTTTTCTTCTTCTGCAAACTAAATCCATTCGCATGATTGGTTTGGGGACGAAGGAGTTTGACGGGTTGTGGTGAAGTTGGAGGCAGATTTTGCGCGGGACGATGGAACTGAAGTTGAAAAGGGTGGTTGTTTAACTGAGGAGTAACAAACTCAGTGCAGGGTGATTTTGAGGGAAGAGAAACCATTTTCGAATAGTTAAAGTTCAATTTCTTGATTTGACGCAGTTGAAATCTTCGGTTTCAATTTCATACCCGTTAATCTTTGATTTTGTAACCGAAAAGAGAGCAATACCGACGATATCCGAACCACAGTATCGAGGTGAGACCCGGGAGTCTGGAAGATTAAGAGAGACAGAGTATGAGACTGGGAGATCGAAGACGGTGTCCTAGCGATTTGTGAAAGCTGAGAGAGATTGGGCGAGAAGAGTGAGAAGGCCGAAGAGGGAACCGGGTTGCAAGGCTCCGATATAAAATGCACTTGTATTGATGGTAAATCAGCTTGTCTGTAAAATGAGTTGTGTTCAAATTAGTCACGACGAAACTGATTTTTATTTTAATTAATTTTTATAAATTAAAATTAAAATAAATTTTAATTAGTATATTGTGATTTATGTTTGGATTGCTGTTTATAAAAAGTCAGTTGAAAAAATTAAAATTTGTTCAAATGATTAATAGAAAAGTAAGTTTAATTGTAAAACTAACTTTTATTTTAACTGATTTTTGCAAATTTAAATTAGAGTAAAAGCTAGTTAGTATAATATAATTTATCTTTGGATTATTGTTTATAAAAAATTAGTTGAAAAAGCTAAAAAACCTATTTGGATTGTTAATAGATAAGTAAGTTTAGTTGTAAACTAGTGTTTGATATTATATGTTTTTACTGTAAAAATAGTTAAAAAAATCTAAAATTACTTTAATAAAATAAAAATAGTTTTTTGCTGAACTTATAAAATAAAAATATTTGTTAGAGAAAATTTTTGAAAAAACATTGTAGATAATTAAATATATATAATGGGCAAACATGAATATAAATTTAAACACATTAATATGTTCATTTTTGAAATAAATGAAATTACATAACCAATTAAATTGTAAGCTTTGTACAATTTGGTTTCTGATTGAGTTACGAATACAATTCATTTGTGTGACAGATGTTAAACTTAACAAGGACGCTTCACCAGCTATTTAATTATTGTCTTCATCTATTACACTTTCATGTTCAACTTGCATAAAGTGGTCTCAGTTGGAGAATTTTGCCTGAAAAAATTATGCACAGCCATTGTTGGACAAACCATACAGACTTGTGTTTGAAACTTGAATTTGGACATATCTCTTAAGATTGCAAACCTACTCTTCCAAATCCCGAAAGTTCTTTTCAATAATGCATCTCAAACTTGAATGATAATAATTGAAAGACTCATTCTTATTTCTAAATCCTGATTGACAATTAAAGTCTGAAAGGTGATAGCACTCACATCTATGGGGGTTAAGGTATCCCATTTGTGTTGAATATATTAGTGGTAGTCTCACCCAAGAGGGGGTGAATTGGGTGAGTTATAAAAATCTTGCGAATTTAAAACAATAAGTTAACGGAAAGAGAGAGTGTGAGTTAAAGAGATTTCACCGTAGAAAGAGGACACATAATTTATATTAGTTTAGTCTCAACCACTTGACCTACGTCCAGTTCTCAGAACACCTCTGAGTATTCCACTATATTCCAAGATTAATCGGGCTCTTGGTGCCGCACTACAGTAATTGATTTGCTTAATCACTCCCCCTTACTACCCGTAAGGCTACAATCCCACTCAAGAGTCCACACTCTTGAGTTTCACACAGAACGTGATTTATGATGATAGATACATACTCTCTCACAGAGTAATTAAATGAGAAACACTGAAGCTCGGTATATGCTACAACAAAGTATTGAATGTAACAGTAAATAATTAGCAGAGGGCAGCTCGCCTATTCAATCTGTTCATTTAATGCTTCTTCGCACCTTTTATAGTTGAGGTAGTTTAATAACCGTTAGATGGAAGAGCTTCTAGCCATTGAGAGTTCGGTTGCATGTTTTCCCAATTGCAACGGTTTTCGCCATTAATGCTTCTAACAAGGTAGGTTACATGCTACTTAAACAACCGTTGGAGAGCTGTT